ATACAACTGTAGACAGAGACTAGTCATAGACACATAGAATGACACATCTCGTTGGTGTAGTGTTTGTCCCCATGTTTTGCTTTTAGCTGATCAATCACACCAAATGCATTCAACAAAGGCATATCTGCCTTCGTCCAAAATATCTATCAAATACTTAATATGTTCCGGTGGTTTTTGTCCTTGACGACATAGACTGGAATTGAAGTCCACAATATACTGCTCTGGGCTTTGGTAGGCATGGCGCAGGTTATTTTTACATGTGAAAATGACCACCATGTATTTAAAAACGTCGTATCCAAATGTTTCTGTTAGTCTCAGGAGAGTTTGTTTGTCTTCATCTGTAAATCTGGAGGCGATGCTGATAACATAAGCAAAAACATGAGGACCAGGCAGAGATAATTGTACCAGTTTACCAAGAATCTTCTCTAATTCTTCATGACTCCGACAGGTATCAAAATATCCGGGAAAATCTATAAATTCATAATGTTTCATATTAAACTGCACCGCTACTTTTTGTGGACTTCGGGTCACCGATGAGCCACTTGTACCGACCACAATGGTCCTTTTATTCCCCATGAGATTGCAGAACAAAAGGTTTGTTTGTTTAAACAATAGAGAACAATAGAGAACTCCTGGAGGACCAGGAGAATACCTACGAGGTTGTACAGGCGACCCTATTCCTTGTCACAGTGGGGAATCGAATCAACACCATTTGACTTAATGACAGACCTTATGATACAATGCACAAGCGTTAACCATTTGGCCACCCAATACCCGACGCAATAGAGGATAACGTTTTTATCCGATTGACTTTAAATTTAAACACAGTATATATAGTCAAGAGACGATGGGGTGAGTTAATTCCAATAATTATTAAATACATTAAGTTTATTAAATACGTGTATATAATAAATATACTTACCCGACATGCTGTACTTTATGTCTATTTAAAGATAATCAGCTAGTTTGACAGGATAGTTTTACCTATAAATAAAGAAATGTTTTAAAATATTACTCTCCATTACGTATACTGTAAGTTTTATCGGACAATCCGACAAAAATTGTGTACTCTATTACATTAGTTTTAACACTATTGTGTTAACCATATATTACATGTTTTAACACTCTATTACATGTTTTAAAACTATTGTGTTAACACTATATTACATGTTTTAACACTCTATTACATGTTTTAAAACTATTGTGTTAACACTATATTACATGTGTTAATACTATTGTGTTAAAACTCTATTACATGTTTTAATACTGTTGTGTTAACACTATTATTACATGTGTTAACACTATTATTACATGTGTTAACACTATTATTACATGTGTTAACACTATTATTACATGTGTTAACACTCTATTACATGTTTTAATATTATTGTGTTAACACCCTATTGCATGTTTTATTGCTAAGGATTCGGACAAACTCTAAACCAACTGCACCCCCTCCACTGGGCCCCCTTTAATATCTGTCTACCTGTGGAATAACATGTATTTGTATCTGTTAAATTTGTGCTGTTTATTAATATTATTATTTACACATATGCGGGGAGTAATAACGTCTTATCCCAAACAAATTGCAAGAGAAAGGCGAGGAGTGTTAACGTCTCACCCCAAACAAATTGCAAGAAAAAGAACTAAGTTTCGGAGAGCAATATCTCGTATTACATGACACTGATGAAACATATGCTCGAAACACGTGTCGCGCTTAGAGCAGAGTGGCAGACACCTTTTATTTAAATTCCACTGATTTTAAGTTAAATGTTTTATCCATTAGTTAAATTTAAGGAAATTTCGATTTTCGAAATATTTATGATACAATTAATGATCAATGACTGAAAACTGACACACATTCCGGAATGGCTCCAGATAAAAAAATCATGGAATTTCATGCACTTATTTTGCTGGCTAGAAGGCAAAAAAGTTTTATCTCCCAAATTATTATCTAAATTTTGATTAAATATATTTAATAGCGCATTTATCTGTTATTTTCATATGAATATGGCTATATAACTACAGCAATAATGTGCGCTTTTGTTGTATAATAATAATAGTATGTTCAGCTATACTTTCCTTGTTAAAAAATGTATGTTTTATCTCATATAGGCATTTTTTCGTGGAAATCTATGACATATCTATCCACATCCTTCTCGGGGCAGACAACTTCGACACAACAATATAATAATGCCTATAAATAGATAGTCAGTAGGTACAATTACTTGGGACCCAATATGGCGTCTTTGTACACTTCAAATCATATTTTCATGACGTCAAATGAAATTTCTTGCTTCACAGTTGTCGCAATTTAATCTATATTTTATCTTGATGGCGTCAAGTGAACAGAGACGCCATCTTGGGTCTCAAGTAACTGTACCTATCCACTATCTATATGCCCTATTATATGACTGTGTCGAAGTTGGCTGTCTTGACATACGGGGATGTGTTTAGATGTCTGATAGATTTCCGCGAAGAAGAGTCTATAGGAGAAAAAATATACATTTTTTAAACGAGAAAAAGGCTAAATGGGGCAATAGAACAAGTTCACCTTGATGTTGACAAATACGTAAGACAGCATAAACAATAAGATATATAATGCGATTTAACTGAAATGTGATATATACATGTATATGCAATATAATATTTACCTTCAAGTTAAACCAACTGTATCTATTTATTTTATGTCTTACGTCCAGCTGAATAGACTATATGATTTATCGTCATTAAAACTTCCATGGGTGGTTATAACAGTGTGTAATTAAAAACTATAATTAGATCTTTAGTATTGCCAACATTTTAATGTACATATAATTTTCTACACCAAGTCTATCGCATCCAGATATTTAAAGCGCGTTAACAATATATTCATTTAAGAGAAACTATGTCATTTTGGGATTAACATATCATAAAAGTCATATTCATTTGATGACCTACCTCCTAGATTTACAAAACTATGGTTTATCCCAACTACTGTTTAAAAACTTTTCTGGGCTACGGGGGACGCCATGGTTTAGAAACTCTATCTCAACTGCATGGTACATCAGGCAGGGCATGGTGGCAAGATCCCGTCCGCCGTCCCCCCCCCCCATGAAAACAATATTTATATGTGTGTGCCGTGGAGGGGTAAGGAGACATCCCCTCCCAGTTACACCGGGTAATATTGGTCTATGTTGAAGATGCTAAAGTCGATTTGTAGCATATCTGACCCACCGTATATGTTTGACACTGTTGAAAATGTAATAATGTTGAAAACCACGTTGAAACCGCGTGAATTTTTGCAATTTGTGAGGGGCGCAAAACTCAAAACCATGACGCAAAGCTCGCCATTGCGTCTCTCGCACATAACCCAGGACTACAGGATACATCATGGTTTAGATATCCACGACCCCGGTCCATCCCTTGTATAGGCTGTGATTTAGCCCAGAAAATCGTTTCATCTCGTCCCAGCAAATTCCGGGTGAAAATCTGACGCTTTGTTACATAATTTAACCAGTAGGCCATCACTGTCGCATACTTTTCTGTTCCGATGCATTGCACAATACGTCTTGCACTTGAATTACGTCTCGAACTATATTTGTCAAGTGTAGCCATAATCGGGTGAAAAAATCAAATTCTAAGCCAATCAGAAACCATAAAAGCAAAGATCGTCATAGGTCAAGGGTCAATAGCCATAAATAGACCAGTGAATACCTTTTATCAGACGGAACACGTTGGATTGTTTACATTTGTCTGAGAGAATTTCTCTGCAAATATGCCGGGATTACTGGATAATATCACCTGTTAAATGTTGCATTGACACGGTAAAGACGACTTACCCCTGATCTGTGGCATAAATATGGCCAATAATTGGGAAATAGCACCAATGATTGAATGAATCTTTTATTTTCTGGAAACAAGTATTTCTTCAAAACTATTTCAGTGAAACAATATCCAAAAGAAATATACACTGAAAAAAAACTTGTGTTGAAACAACACAAACTTGTGTTGGTTTCAACACAAGTAAGGTGTCTCTCTTTAACAACACAAACTTGTGTTGAAACAACACAAAACTTGTGTTAAATGTTGAAACAACACAAAACTTGTGTTAAAATTTATCAAACAACACAAACTTGTGTTGAAACTTGTGTGAAAATCTACACAATACTTGTGTTGAAATTTTTGAAACTTGTGTTGAAATTTCTGAAACTTGTGTTGAAATTTCTGAAACTTGTGTGGTTTCATACAAACTTGTGTATAACCATCCACAAAAACTTGTGTTGTGTTTTTCCCCAATTTATATACAGTATAGCAACATTTTTATGCAGGACCCATCTCTTTGCTCTGTTAAACCTGTAAAGTTTGATAAAAGAAGGAAACAAAATTTGTTTTTGTTTTTGTAAGATTATTATTTATTCATAAAATCATAGGAAAAAGTAAATTAATACATCAAAACTAAATAGATATTTGAAATGTTAACAGAAAAACAGAGAATTCTAATACTAATTATATTGTGTTATATATAATGCCCCCCCCCCCCACGCACACACACACACAACCCACTTTACCCACCACAAAATATAACATAGCTATTTAAATTGTTCTTAACCCCACACACTTTACCTATCACAAAATATAAAATAGCTATATAAATTGTTCTTTACCCCAAAACAAGAACTGAGAATATAAAGATATGTACACAGTATCCCTACCCCATACTCCAAAATATATAATTCAAATAATATCTAAATTTAATAACATCCAAACCAAGCACTAAGATTAATTATGCATTAAATTGAAACAATTTCAAAAACTGAAAAGTGCTACAAAATCACACTACAAGTGATTTGTGAGACATATAGAAATAACTAATATACACAGAAAACTAAAAAAAGAAAAATGCACTATTTTGCAGAATCACTCTAAGAACACAGAAAAGTAGGATACTAAACCGTATTTCATTTCATAAGCAAGGGAAAGTCACCTTTATGTAGGTCAAGGTTTTTTGTAATTCTGGGTGTATTTGATCTACATTTGGTTTCTAGTAATGCCTATTAAATACTTTATGATTTCTGACCAAATTCTAAGTGATTTATATGCCACTTTACTTGCTATATTATACATACATTTCTGAAGAGAATTAAAATCTAATTGTGTTTTGGAAGAAAATTTAACATTAATAACAAAAAATAAATATTTAAAAATTGGGTCAAATGCATTCTTTCCCAGAAGTATAAAATAAATTGATGCTTGGGTTTTCTTGTTGTTATCATACAGCAAATACTCTTTCAATGGTGTTCCAGCCTAAAAAATAAAAAGTAGGAGATAAGAATACTTTCTATGGTTCACAACGTTTAAATAAACAATTTATTTTGCCACATTGAGACCGAGTCTGTATTTGGTTTCAACTTTGCGTAACGCTTATTGTGTCTTGTCCAGTTACAGACCCAGACAGATTATTATGCTCAAATCAAATGAGTTAGAAATCAGAAAAAAGTCTTGAGATTTGGGACTGAAGTCTCATAATAGGTCAACTATTCACCCTTTCATACATGTATTGTCTGCAAATCCAGATTCCCTACTACATCATGGCAGCACCTATTTACTTGGCAATGTCTAATTATTTTTGGACCCATTCTTATTTTATTTCCATTGACAACAAATTGGATATTACCCTTTAAAATCTACTGAAATCTATTTGAAAGTAAAATACTGTCCATCATTATTTTACTGCTATTTACTGTAAAAATACACATACATGTAGGGCCTATCACAACTTGAAGGAAATCAATGGATGTGATTGGCAAAAATCAAGCATGCCAAGTACTTGAAACAGCAGAGTCCTAGGCATTGCCCCAAGAAGAATAACTAGATTACCAAGCAAGTGTATAGAAGTACTTCCTGATTAAAAATACAAATATATATGTTACTTACATTTTGCGTGAATTCCCCTTGTCAGTGATACAGGACGGAGGACCTGACAAGGACAGCTGTCTAGTCGTTCGGATGGGACGAAAAACCGAGGTCCCGTGTACACATTGGCGTGCACGTAAAAGATTCCTTGGCAATTGGAATTCGATATAAGAGTAGGCTGTAGCGCCGCTGCCCGGGCAAAATTCCCTTCATAGCACACTGTATGGCGTATGCCCGTCTTCATTAGCCCAATTTATGAGCAATGAGCAAAACAGTAGGATGTTAAACCCCATTTCATTTCATTTTCAAAATTATAAAATAATTTGATGGCTTAATATTCAAAAGGTACAGTCCTTCATGTTTATAAAATTGTACGGGAGCCATAAAAAGCTCCTGATACCTTGAATATATGCAGTTTAAAAGTAAACAAAAATCTCAATATTTAGGAGAGAGAGAGAAATGGGGTTTAACGTCCATCCACCCCCCACCCCCCACCAAGTGTATAGAACCAGTTCCTGATTTAAAAAGCAAATATGCATGGTACTTACATAGTCTTTGTCTGATAAGCAAGATCTGTGAGAAAACGTCTCCACAATATCAATAGCCCTTTCCAACTTGATCTTCCGAGGTGGGTAACTGATAAAAAAATGGCAATGTATTAGTTGGCTTAAATTGACTAGACAGTTTTGATTAATTAAAAAAATGTTAATTTAATTACATTTGTTTTGTTTCATGTGTTGGTTTCCTTTGCCACAGATGAGACAGTGATATCTACATATAACTAAGATTCTGTCTCTGCTCATACATGACGTGTACAGTTTTACTATACTAAACTGAATTTTAGATTTCAAAATAGCATAACAATCTTTTCTATTAGAATTGAATAGTTACCCACCAAGAAAAAGCTGCTCCATCATCATTTTTTCCAGCCATTTCTTCTTCCATTTTTTTCTTTTATAATTTCTTTTGTTATTACATGATCTTTTTCTGGGTGATTTGCATATACATCCAATATTGAAACTGAAAAAATAAATACATGATATGTAATTTACGATTAAAGCTACCTTACCATATATACAAACTGTGTGATATGAAATTGAAACTAATGTATCTATATGTATCAAAAGTTTTAATCCCAAGGAACTACCAAGCCGTAAAAGTCTATCTTAATAATCCTTGTTTGTCACATGGTTTCACTGTCGCAGTAATTAGAAGACGGCCATGGTGACTGAGTAAATTAGGTGCTGGCACACTAGCATGGAGGCCACAGGTTATCTCTTGGGGTTGACCGAGAAAGCTCATCTTGATTTTGCAGAGTGGTTTCCCCTGAGATCCAATGTACACATTGGCGTACACATAAAAGTTCTCTTGGCAGTTTGAATTCGGTATGAGAGTAGGCCATAGTGTCGCTGCCCAGACAAACATTTTCACTTAGCACAATGCATTAGACCAGTCGGAGCTGACCAGTAGGACGTTGTCTTTAAACCCCATTTCATTTCAGGTAATCTAGTATTTTTCTAGTAAGATTGAAGTCTCTCTACTTTCTTTATATGTAAATATCATATTTGAAATAAGTCATACTTTTATTCGATATGGGGTGGGGCTGGGGGGAATGGTCTAGTAGGTAATGCATGCGCATGAAATCACAGGGTCTGTCATTGTGTTAAGTGGCATGGTTTCAATTTCAAGGAGTAGAGTCGCCTGTCCAATCTCTTGAGTTTTTTCGCTGGGTCATTCGGTTTCCTCCGTTTTCTAAATACATGTACCCCTACGCCAAGCGAATTATTCATATTAAATTGAAGCATACCTTCTCTAATCTCTGGGTCCTTTTGTTTCCGTCTTTTGCTAAATACCCATACCCGCAAGCGAATTATTCATATTAAATTTAACCTTACCTGTCCTTTTTCCCGAAACGACCTAGCGTCTGTAGGCTAAGTAGATATAAGGACCCATCTTGCAACAACTCTACATGTAGGTTCGTGCATAATTAATATTACAGTAACATACCAATTTTTAATACATGTAGAATGAGACAGTGTGCAGGGAAAGGGTGGAAACAGAAGTAGGCTAATCCTCGTCGTAGTTGATTACCGGTATGCATATAGGCACAGCATGGACTACTTGATTCTTCAAATACAAGTACATGTAAGGCCTTGTTTATGTCATTTCTCTCTCTCTCTCTCTCTCTCTCTCTCTGTTGCATGTAAGTGCCATATAAATACTTTATTTTGGATTGTATGTTCACATACACTAATCATTGTAGGACATTGGTGAAAAAAAAATAGAAAATATAAAAATTAATTGAAATTTTTACCTGTTTTTCTTCGATTCAATGCCAATGGAGTCCTTGGTAAATTCTCAATAATTATTGCTGGAAGGTGGAAAGAGTCACATATCATCACTGACTGGAAAAAATAATAAAACTATAGAGAAACTTCCACAGGCTGATTCTAGTTCCATTATTTATTAACTGTGACTGAATCAGGCAAAAATGGGGCCTAATATTAAATATTACACAGACTCACAGAGGTTGAACAACGGATTACATGTCATTTGGGACTCACGTCATTTGGGACTCGCGTCATTTGGGACTCACGTCATTTGGGACTCGCGTCATTTGGGACTCAAAAAAATATGACCACGACATTTGGGACTCGGGTATACGACGTTTGGGACTTTGGTATACGTCGTTTGGGACTCGGGTTAACGACGTTTGGGACTCGGGATAATTTATTAGAAATAGGCCAATTCAAAACAGGAAAGAAAATATTTATTAACATGAAACACGTGGTTAGTAAAAGGCTCAACCAAACGATAAAACATTAGTTGCACTTACGGTTCTTTGATAATCATCGTTTCTCATAAAAGTTTTATATTTATTTAAAACGAATAATATGCTGATGAATTTATTTGAAAATGACCTACACAAAAAACAAAATAAATATTTACACGACATGCAATCTTTTTTTACAAGCCCCTAGAAATTGTTAACGATAATCCGTGAGCTGCACGTTGACATGCTTGTCGTAGATGGCAATACCAATTGATAAATTAGTGCGTACAAGGCAAAGTTTTTTTGTGGAAAATATAAGAAATGGCAACGAACAAAGCGGGATAATTAAAGCTGATAATCCCAATGTTATTACAGTATGTTCAAAGAAACCTAACGGTTCTTTGGTGGATGAATTGCAATGTTTGTTTTGTGTTCTGGGCTCCATTTTGAAAAAAAACTGACATGACCTATATAATACAATCCAGCGATAGTGCAGTCAATTTCCTTTAAAAGGGAATCCGAATTTGTTAATTTTCTGCAATATCACTTCGGTGGTAGCGGACGTTAAATAAAGCTATTTCACGTACAAAGACCTACAATAAAATCCAGGTGAATTGGGAAAAATATTCATGTATTTTCTTGATGAAGAGTAGCTATTTCAATTTGTAAATGCCCAGTCATCTTAGACAAATAATAATTCCAACTTCAAATCAGTTGTATTTATTCAAATCATACTATGAATAATTGTATTTTTCCACTTGCATAATAATAAAAACTTGACTTTTATTATTTTATTTCTTCAGGCCAAGAACATGGAAAATTGGTAATTGCCTTGTATCACTGCTAACTATAAGGCACAGGGAGCCTTGGGCAGAAATGATAATAATATGGTTCTCAGATATGTTACTGTGTACAGACTGAACAAAAAATATATATACACTTGCTAGTTTCCGTGGCGTATTCCCAATAAGCGTTAGAAACAAAAATATACACCCTTAATCCCGGTGCCGATAAATGTTGGGTTGTGTGGAACATGCTAACAAATCTCGGGTACGATATATGTTTGATTCTGGTTATGTTTGATTCTGGTTGAGAACAGCATGAGAGCAACATGATTGTTTTCATTGGAGATGAGACGCAAATATTCAAAGGGGTCAGACAAACTCTAAACCAACCGCGTTCCCTTCACTGAGTCCCTTCAAAGGAGGCCCTGTCTGTCTACCTGTGGAATAACATGCATTTGTATCTGTTAAATTTGTGTGGTAGACAGATTGATATTATTTATATAACGTCTTACCCCAAACAAATTGCAAAAGAAACCATGAAGTTTCTGAGAGCGATATTTCGTAATTAGTGTGCTTTAATGGTGGGAGAATAAATAATTTCTTTTTAAATTTTTCAAACACAAACTGGTCATATATAAAATAGCATTTTCTGACAAGACCAGCGATAATCTCGTAAGATATGACTTTTACTATGTCTATTAAATGGTTTTCGACGTCTCTTCAAGGTCACCGTCTTGCGCCAAATTCGTGAAACGCACCGTCGGGCGATTTGTTGGGGCCTGTCTCCCCCAGAAAAATTTCAAGAAATTTCAAGTCGGCCTTGCCTGGCCGTGAATACGGCAACCTGAAAGTGGTCGATTTTAATGTAGACATCTGAACTCCAATCAACAAATCAATCAACCAGGCTGTTGTCGTTGCATTCACACCAGACGTGTCACCGATGAAACAAATATGCCTGAAACAAATGTCGCTGTTAGTGCGACCCATTTGTGACAATTTCAAGGTCCCAAATAATAGTCCTTTTTTACTATTAATAGTAATTCAATCAGTAAGTGCTATTTACCTTATAATAGTCGTCTTGGCTTTTACCCGACATTACACAAAACACCAATGGTAACTGTCGGGTGGTCTCTCCAGTCTTAATGAAGGCGTGGATGGAAAACAGCTGAGACCATGGCTTGTTCACCACCCGAAAAGTTGCATCCATATACCAAGTTTTTGCGCGTGCGAGTAGTTGCATCTGTCTATCAGTACAAAAAATGTGATGGCGCCTTTCCCCAACTTTTACTCTTTTTTGATAAAATCCCGGTGCACTATGATCGATGAAATCTTCGTCAAGCTAAAACAAAAAATAAATAAAAAAGTACATTTAATTACATGTTAATAAATAAATAAAATTGTACATTTAATTACATGTTAATAAATTCTTATATACATGGGTATTTAATTGCATGAGTACTTACGCTTGACGACACGTCAGTGGGATCTTTTGGTCGCAGAGTCTGTCGGGTTCTTTGTAGCGACCTTACAAGTGCTGCCATGGGTGGTCTGCTATGAATGGGTTCTTCTGCAGAACCGACACTGGATAAAACTCTCTCCGCTATTGAGGAACATGACTTGGTAAAAACATTTCCTTTGGCTTCATGCTTTGCCTGTAATTATAAGATAAAACATATTAAACTACAAATATATTATTGGTTTATTTATATTTTATTTATTTACACACATACACATATATAAATTTTTAATTTAATTGATATATAATTTTTAAACCTACTGTAACTTTTATCTTGGTAGCCGTGTGTATACCGGGTTCTGCTGGGTGAAGATGGTTCTTTAAGCCTGGTTGGTATGTATCACCATCTTGGATTACTGTTGCCGGACATCGTGTTGGTCCGCTTTTTTTGGAACACCTCCAAATCGTAGTTTTCTTCTCTGTCTAAATATATTAAATTCATTTATTATTATAGAGTTAACTAGGTTAACTAGAGTTAATTATCTTTACATTTTGTAGCTGAAATACATTTCTATACAAGGTAGTTAACTAGGTAAAATAAATCACCCTACCTTAATTGTATAACTAAACCCTTGGTTGTCAAACAACTTGGACTTGCCACGGGAGGTACCAGCTTCTACCTGCGTATACACTATAAACCTCAGAATGCCTCGTTCGGCATTTCTGTCCAAACGAGGCAAAAACGTGTCAAAATTTTTGCCCCGATTTTGAGTCGTTGTAACGAGGTAAAACAAATACCTCGTTTCTCTGGAGTTCCAAAACGTGTTTTTTTTTTTAAATTGCCCTGTTTTTGGAACGAGGTATTTTGTTCAGAACGAGGCTGGGTAAAATTGCCTCGTTTACTAAACGAGGTATTTTATCCAAGATAATTATTAGCGGTATTTGCTGTCAACAAATAGAGCCATACAAATAATGTTCGGACCATCATGTGACAAATTGCAGATCTACAAATTAGATTATTTATTTGGGACATGATATTGTTCATAGTTATGGCTTACTACACTGGAGTTCTATAGTCATGGCTTACTACACTGGAGTTCTATTGTGTATAATAAACGCTTCCCAAGCGAAACAAAACATAACAATGTCACGTGACAATATTACATACGGCGGATACAAGCGCTCTTTGATTACATGCTGTTTGGTTTTATTATTAAATAATACGGTAATCTGTATTTATGGGAAAAGGAGAATGAATTTCCCCAAATCCAAAACTAGATGACTGGAATATTTATTGAATTGAAAGTGAATATTTTATAAACAAAAATATTCGGATTTGCAGTTTTCTAGCTTAGGTGGATTTGTGATTTGAATCTAGAACTCGGTGTTTTATACATTTTATTATAAAATTGTAATAAATGTTTTACATGAATGAATAAAATCTACAATTTAAAAAAATACAATAACATTGTGATTTGACGCTCTACAAATCACTAAAAGTATAACAATTGCTTGTTGAAAAGGCGTTACTAATATGTTTTTTTTCCAATGAAGCAAAACCTACTTTGAAATATATTCAAAAAGAATGCGTCCTTTACAGATTTCAATATAACCACAAATTGTTGATTGTTTTAATGCTTAGATAAGTATGGGCATATGCCATACAATGTGCTATGAGGGTCATTTTGCCCAGGCAGCAGAACTATGGCCTATTGTTATACATGTATCGACTTTCAACAGCCAAGGGACACACGGACCTTGGGTTTTTTTTGTCCCATCTGAATAACTAGACATCTGTTTTTCTCAGGCCCTCCGTTTGAACTGCACCACTGACAAAGGGAAACCCCGCTGGAAAATCCTGATGAACTTTCTCGGCCAATGCATTGATAGGAAATAGCATAGATCAAATATTAGTAATCTAGATAACGAATGGATACCAAAATAGTCTCATAGATTGGTCCTAGAAAGTATATATATTGTGTATTGTAATGTGGCCGACAAAGGAGGTTATAATATCATCGTATGGCCCCGTAGAATTACCCAAAACAACCATATTTTGCTTAAAACTGTTGTTTATCAATACCGGTATACTTATTGAGGTTTTTTCTATGTTGGGCTTTCTGTGATTATAAAGAAAAAAACCATTGAAATGTTCAAAGAAATATCATAGACCAAGAAAATTACATCATGGATTTAATATAGAAGTCAATTAGGGGGAGAGAATTAGGCCTACTAGCTGACGGACTCAGACTAGCAATTATTTGCCCATTGACTTCAATGTTAAATGACTGTAACATCACAGGCTGTAGCTTTTTGCTCAACATTCCGTTGGTTCCAATCTTTATAGGCACAATGGGGACAACATTTGGCAATCTCCTCAACATAATTTTGTAGGGGGTTGACCGTTTAGATTTTTTGCTACACGGATTTGAAGTTGACAGGGGTGAAAATCTCACTTCCGACACAATGATTGCTCTGCAGAAAGACACTTTACACCCCCTATCCCTCCGCTGTAATATCATCAGTATTACCCAAAACTGCTATGAAATTGCAAATTTGATCCCTTTTCTCCAATTCTAGACCAAAAAGTCAACCCAAAAATGCAGGAAGAGGGGAGAAAAAAATTAAGGGAAAAATTGTCTATTTATAACTCGCACTACATTCGTCCATCATGAAATAAGGGGAAATAATTACTAGTCTTAGTCCTATATACCTCACATGTTTCTGCAGTTTAAACAAATCTGTTGTTATTTAATAAACAAACATATATGCAATTCCCTGACCAAAGAATATGAAAATCTATGCATTTTCAGATGAGCTGTGCGGCATTCTGCAAACACTATAATACATCAGAAAACTGCGGAATTTCAGACAGAAATTTAAAAGCACATGAATTTTGAATTAAACAGAACATTTTTATTTTTGAACATAAATGCATTCTGTAAAAAGATGAGATAAATTCAATATAAATCAAACACGAAAATACTTTAAAACAGTAATCATGATGCAATATTAGACTTTTTAACACTTTCATCGAAAACCACACAGTTTTTCTCTGTTAACGTAGTTTCAAGTGCCAAATTGTGGTCAAATCTAAAATGTTGAAACATGCAGTGCCTATCAATTTTAAAATATCTCCTATATAGCTGTATTTCCATAGGATAAGTAAGTTGAAATAATCTGATTATGTAACACTACAACAGCTTTTTCATCCCTACCCCCCAGTTTGGAATCTGATAATTTAAAAGCACATGAATTTTGAATTCCACAGAACATTTTTATTTTTGAACATAAATGCATTCTTCAAAAAGATGAGATGAATTCAATATAAATCAAACACGAAAATACTTTAAAACAGTAATCATGATGCAATATTAGACTTTTAACACTTTCATCGAAAACCACACAGTTTTTCTCTGTTAACATAGTTTCAAGTGCCAAATTGTGGTCAAATCTAAAATGTTGAAACATGCAGTGCCTATGAATTTCAAAATATCTCCTATATAGCTGTATTTCCACAGGATAAGTAAGTTGAAATAATCTGATTATGTAACACTACAACAGTTTTTTCATCCCCACCCCCCGGTATGGAATCTGATACATTGCTGACCAATCATAGGTCGCCCCGTTCACTCGGGCCTGTCAACTGATTTACAATGGCGATGGTGCCTACAACTTTCCTGACCAAGAGATATGCACAACCGTCGATCAACACACAAGCCATTAATGTTATCTTCCAATATGAGAGGCCATGATAAACACACAAGCGTCCTTTTCAAGCTCGGAAATTAAGTCATCACCAAAAGGCAAAGTTTACAGAGGTCCTCAGGGCTGGAACCCAAACTGATTACGATTTGCCCTCCACTTCCACCACAGGTGTCATAGAGATCAGGGATGAAATTGATATGCATCATCGTTCTCCTAAAGCCAGTCCAGGAAGAGATCAGGTTTTGAGATGTAGACCTGAAATGTTAAATTTGGATGAGAATGAGAATTCTGGGGCGAATACTATCCAGGGAAATGGTCATTGACATCCAGAAAATGGTCAAAATGTGGAATTCTGTCATTCAGTTAAATGTCAAGGGGAGAAGACAGGCCTGTGCAGTACCAAATTTCCAGCCCATTACTATTAGTGAGCAGAAGTGGGGATGAGGTTGGATGTACTTCTTAAAGTGTATGAAATGCACATTTATCTCACCTGTTTTGCTTCTTTTTTTTTTAATACTTGTGTTGAGGTCAATCATTCCACTCTATGAAACATTGCCCTGGCACCTGAAATGATAGGAGGCTGGGGATAAATATGCAATAAAAAACAGTGAGAAAATAAGAAAAAAATATGGTTTCAACTGGAAATAGAAATAAACCTCTTTATTTCTCGCGAACAGCCCGTCACTGGCCCTCCAAAAAGAAACCAGTTAACAATCAGTAAAAAAGTAAACCTTGAGTGTCACATAAGTCTAAGCCAATCTCAAAGGTAGATGCCATGTTTTGAGGTTCGGTCTAAATATTAAGGCCAATTGCATGTTTGGTCAAAAGTCACACAGGTGTGAATTTTGGAGTGTACATGTTAACATTTCATTGTATGATGTCAAAAACATGTTAGGTCTAAATGTTAAGGCCAACTGCAGACTTGGTTCAAGGTCACAACATGTAAATAGGGTTAGGGCACATGATTTTTTGACACAATTGTGGGTTTGGGCTAGGGTCAGAACTAGGTCTTGGCTTAGGCCTAGGCTACATGCTTTTTGACAAGATTGTGGGTTAGGTTTAAGAATTTGGGGGGAGAGGCTAAGTCTCCACATAAGCACTGACCTAGGATGATGAAAAATTAGTTGTGATATTTCCTAGTTTTATTAAAATACATACAATACATTAGATTTATATACAAAGGCGATTTCACTGTTTATTGGTGTTGGTGGCGCTGATGGTCTTCCTTGGGTGGTGCTTCTGGTATTCTGGTATTATTGTTTCTGAAGAAAAAAGAAAATAAATTTGAGGCTCTCGGGAGAGAGCCACATTAGTGTGTTTCCTACAACGGATTGGATTTTCTAAAAAAATCGTGTTTGTTCCACATCACCGGGTTACGGCTAGGGATTCTTATATCTAATTGATTTTAATTACTAACGGTTAGGCATAGGATTTGATATATGGTTTGTTTTGGGTCAGGGTGGAAACTACTGTGCACTAGGATGTCGTTCAGATTTTTATTTTTAGAATATGCAATTATAAGTTTCTGTGTGAATATTTTCGGGTGATTTTCTTGGAGATCAGTATAGTGTTTTCTGATGATTTTGGACGCACTTTCTGCTGTTGCGCTAAATGGAACTACAAAAGGAGCTATTGCGCTAGCCGTATGAATATTCAAACCTAGGGGGGGCTGTTGTTTTCAATTTGTCAATCCAGAATTTTTCTCTTGTTAGCCTAAACGTTTTAATTTCTTCTGAAGTTTCAAAGTCGCTCTTGGTCTTTTCTATTGGCGTGACAATGAGATCTGAAATGTCATGATTTGGTTGGTTGAAATGAATTGAGACAGGTTTGTCTTTTTTGGTGACTATGTCAGACCGGTGACCGTTAATTCTTTCCCTAAGTGCATTTTGAGTCTCCCCTACGTATTGCTTGTCACATTTTCTGCATGAGATTAGATAAATTATGTTTGAACTACTGCATGAAAGTTGGTCTAATATTGGGAATTTTGTGCCAGATGTTTTGTTATGGAAATGGTGGGATATGTTTAAGATTTTGCATGTTTGACATCTTGGATGGCCACAAATTTTGGTTTTATGTGCTGATTGTATATTATTTGTTTCTTTGGCGGCAAGCTCAGCTAGAGTGTTGTTTTTTATACGTCGTAGATAGCGTTTGGAGTATCCCCTTTCCCGTAGTTTGCTAAATACCAATGTACATGCTGACTCAAAGTCGGTCTGTTGAGTACATATCCTATGAAAACGGAGAATCTGAGATTTTATGATGCCAGAGAATGTATGTTTTGGGTGAAAGGAGCTTTTGAACAATAATTGATGTGTGTCGGTTTCTTTGAAAAATACTTTAGTTTCCAATTGGCCTGTGATTTTGGTGTTGTTACTTTTAAAAACGGTAGTATCAAGGAAATCTATGCTGTTATGGCTTACATTTGCGGTTAATTTGACAGATGGATGATGATTGTTCAGAATGTTGAAAAACGTCCAAAATTCGTCTAGTGTGTAGGTCCAGACTATGAAAACGTCATCTAAAAACCGCCCATAGAAATCTGGTTTTAATGGACAGAGTGGCAGAACTTCCCTTTCCCACTCCGCCATGAAGAGATTTGCATAACTCGGGGCAAATCGTTTTCCCATCGCAGTTCCGGAAGACTGAAGGTATACTTGGTCGTTAAAAGCGAAGTCATTCCTCCTCAGACAAATGTTGAGTAGTTTGAGGATTTCTTCGTCCGGTCTGGATGCTTGCGGGTTCCTAAAAAATGCTTTCCTAACTGCTTCAATACCTGTGTTATTATCAATGTTCGTGTACATGCTTTGTACGTCGATGAATATTAAAACGGTGTGTTCGGGGACTCTTAACTGTTTGATTTTCTGAATGAAATCGTTAGTGTCTTTAAGGTAGGATGGGTGTTGGCATGCTAGGGGTAATAAGAAATGGTCTATATATTGTGATACGTTGTATGATTCGCTGCCACAGTCTGATATTATTGGGCGTCCCTTGGGTATTTTATTAGGTATAAACCATTCTGTTTCTGGATTTTTATGTATTTTTGGTAGTGTATAGAGATGTCTTTGTCGGCAGTCAGATTTAGCAGATAGATAATCATATTGTTTTGCTGTTATGTATTCCCTATCCTGCAATTCATATAAGATGTTGTTTATTAAATTTGCGGTGTCCTTAAAGATGGGTTGGTCTAATTTAGTGTAATGTATAGGATTACTGAATTGTTTTTCTGCCTCTGAGATATAGTCTGCACGATTCATTATGACACAACACGAGCCTTTGTCGCTTTTCTTAATTATTATGTTTTTGTCCTTTTTAAGGGTGTTTAATGCCGTTTTAGTTGCTCGGTTGAGATTTGGTTTTTGTGACTGTGGTTGAATGGATGATATTTCTATATTCATTTCGTCGAAAGTTTTTAGGATGGCTGTTGATAATGACTTTTTAGGTGGTTTCCATGTGGATTTTACTGTGAATAATTTTTTACCTCTGCCGGGTTTGTTCCTAAAAAAATAAGTCAACGAAAGTGTTCTTTGGAAGCGATCGGTTGCCTGGGTGATGGGGTCTATGGATGTTATTGTGGGGGTTGGGATGAATTTAAGGCCTTTATCAAGAATGTCCATTTCTAGGGGGTTGAGAAGTCTGTCGCTCAAATTGACAACTGTCTGTCCTAAAGACGGCTTCTCATTCCTTTTCCCTAATCCTAGTTTAAATTCCTCATCCAGCAGTTGATGATCTCTCTGGCCGTGTCTGGGCTCCAGTGGATTGCGTCGTTACCTTTCAGTTCTATTTTGCCCTTGAAGGTTGGTAATGTGGTGTCGTTTGGTGAAGGTGCAGTGGAGATCAGTTGGTTGTAGCTGGTGATGTTTTGGTAGGCGATCGGATTTTCTTGTCGGAGTCGGGAAGAAGTGGGGATCTGTGTGGCGAAGAGCTTGGTTGTTGGGAAAGCTGCTCTGGTCACCTTGAGTAGATCTAGCATCTGCTCGTGTATCCTTGGTCCACTTTCCTCCCTGTTGTTGAGCCCGACGTGTATCACTAATTCCTCTGGTGCAGGACCCATGTAGTTCTGGAGTATCTGTCTGATGTGGCTGATCTTGGCTCCAGAGTAGCTATGGATCTCCCAGTCCCCGACGAAGGATGCAATCCTAGCCAGGATTAGAGGATCCAATAACCAGGGTCTTTGCCATGACGGGTGGTAGGAACCATAAATCCTTCTCGTCTTTACCTTTGTAGCTGTGAGGTCTCTTTAGGGATAGGTTGAGTGATCGCCTACATCTGGTGGAAGATCTGGTGGCGATTCTAGGGTTAGGAATGATGGGCGATCTAGGGGACAGACAGTCGACAAGGGCGTTTAGTGGCGATATAGATCCCGAGGAAGTAGGTGAGCCAGACACAGCCCGGGGCGAACTTGTTGATCTAGCTGCACGCTTCGAGGGAGTGTTAATGCAAGTGCCTTCTCCAGGGGATAATTTTCTCTTGTTGGGTGTGTATCGTTTTGGTGTGTCCCGGAGAAGGTTGTGCGTAATGTGCATGGGTGATGGGGGAGGGGGCGTGACAGTTTTAGAGACCGTGGACAGTAGGCGGTGGAACTCTGTCTTCACACTATCCTGAAGTCGCTTGCCGTAGGACTTCTTGGCCCATGCTAGGGCGTGGCTAGAGTACTCTTGTACAGCATCCTTGGAAAAGTGACGCGACTTCAAGTACTCCAGTTTCTCCGCTAGCATGGCTCGGTAGTGTGTCGACAGGGATGAGGCGACGTCCTTGGCCCATTTCAAGTTCAATGTCTCAATGGTAGTGGCTATGGTAGGCGTCTTCATGGCCGGCTTCACGAACTTATTCAGGTCTTGGATCTTCCAAGTGAAACTTCTGGTTGGTGTTCCATTCTCCTGACTCTCCATAATGGTCAAGTGGTGGAGGCATTGGAGGACCTGAAAGAAGGCTTTCACGACACCTGCATTTTCTGGGGGTGGTTGGCGCTGGTTTGGTTGTCGTTTTGGTTGGCGCTGGTTTGGTTGTCGACTTGGTTGGTTTGGTTGTCGACTTGGTTGGTGCTGATTTGGTTGTCGACTTGGTTGGTACTGGTAGCAGAATCCGGGTGTTGGAATCCTGGTGGTGGTCGGTTGAAGCCTGGTGGTGGTTGGTGGAAGCCTGGTGGTGGTTGGTGGAAGCCTGGTGGTGGTTGGAATCTGCTTCGTAGCTGTGGCCATGTTTTGATATCATTGTGAACAAAATGTTACACATTTACAACCCAAAATTCACACTCAACCAACGGATACCCCCAATCATGGCTATTTTGATACCAAATAGTCAAAAAACTTACTGCTGGGCAATAAAAAAGCAGTATTCTTACCATTTCTGACACTTTCCATTCAAAACTTCAGGAAATAAGCCGTTGAAAAAATATCAACATCCCGAGTCGGCCATGCTTCTTTATATCATCAGGACTCAGACTAGCAATTATTTGCCCATTGACTTCAATGTTAAATGACTGTAACATCACAGGCTGTAGCTTTTTGCTCAACATTCCGTTGGTTCCAATCTTTATAGGCACAATGGGGACAACATTTGGCAATCTTCTCATCATAATTTTGTAGGGGGTTGACCGTTTAGATTTTTTGCTACAAGGATTTGAAGTTGACAGGGGTGAAAATCTCACTTCCGACACAATGACTGCTCTGCAGAAAGACACTTTACACCCCCTATCCCTCCGCTGTAATATCATCAGTATTACCCAAAACTGCTATGAAATTGCAAATTTGATCCCTTTTCTCCAATTCTAGACCAAAAAGTCAACCCAAAAATGCAGGAAGAGGGGAGAAAAAAATTAAGGGAAAAATTGTCTATTTATAACTCGCACTACATTCGTCCATCATGAAATAAGGGGAAATAATTACTAGTCTTAGTCCTGACTCCTTTATTAGGGTTGTCTTTCTTGCTTTTATCTTCCATTTATTTACGTTTTTGTTGTCTCAGAGATGGACTATTATTTTTAAAAAAAGTTGAAAATCGTAAAGTTTAGGAAATGTTAATCATATAATGATGAAAAAAAATAAGAGCATATGATAATAAAAATGTGTTTGAAATTGAAGGCTCTATAATTAGCCTATAATTAAGGTATCAGTATGGAACGGATCGTAATCGTACGGTATTCACTACGGTCAGACTGATATTTAGGAACGTAAAGTTATCACTATTCAGGCTAATGAACACGAGGCGTTCAAGCCAGCTCTTTATTCACAGAGCCGCCTGGCTCCCCTGAGAGACTTTCACTGACAACTAGTCATTGTCGAGACTAATGATTTTTATCGCCGCTGTTGATCAATATATATATTAAATAATAGCCCGAATTTAAATATACCAAAAGTTAAAGAAATATAACCAGTTTTTGAGCCATTCAGATATTACTGCCAAAATTGTAATCAGCGCGCATGTTTTTTTATGGCTAAAGTCTAACCATAAAACTTAGTGTCCATACATAATAAATATTTTATTCCATTAATCAATTCCATTCCGCCATTGGTTTGTCTTAAACTCGTCATTTGTGTTCATGGGCATCAGGGTCGAGATGGCAACGTTATATGTTTTATTCGTCTAATTTACTATAAAACATCATTCGGTTTGCCTCACGGGTTAACGGCATATTAATAGCTTTATTCACTGAGATGGTTCCTTTACTTATAGTTTATTTTTCGAATTGCTTTTTGTATTTATTTAAATGGAAATATTTAGCACCTTCTTGTTAAACCGTTGAAAGATTTAAAGTTTGGATTAATGTTAAGAGAGTGTGGGTCAAAGATGCCGCTGGCAGAGTGTGTATAGGGTGTTAAAGTTTAAAAGTTATTCCCTACAAGGTGGTTCTACGGTTCTTACCATAGAATTCAGCTGTGAAATAACACAGTTTCTTTCATTATGTGTACAACAATAAAACTAGTTCAATTGCAAGTTGTCTAAACCACGGTGCTGTGATGTATGCATCTAAATGTTTCGACGACCCACCAATCAGTAGTTGCATGATGATTAAATTTATCGGACATGGAATGTGAAAATGCTTTGGAACTTTCAACTGTAACACGTTGCAATAATTACTCAATATAAGCCAAAAGGATCCGCCTTGTTCATTTATAGTCCGGCCCTGTCTTCAGTATTAAAATATAAAATTGAACACAAAGTATATTTAGTAATCCGTATTGTAGTAATGGCAATCACGGCTTGTGTTTTTTTGTTTTGTTTTTTGTTGTTTGTTTTTTTTGCAAAATATAAAATAATTACGATGTCGTTTAACACTCACAATAACATATTTGGTTACCGGCCATTCAGCCATTCAGGTCGTACATGTGTCAAGTATACAGTCATATATACAAACGCCTAACTATAGAAGCCTACCATTCTTAATTTCTACTTTTCGCCCTCCAAAACACGAAAGTCGAAAAGTAGCAGTTACGACAAAATGTGAGGCGACAGCAACGCTATACAAGCCAAAATCGACTCGAAAATAGGAAATCAAGAAATAATACACTGCGATAATAGCGCCCCTCGTTTTTTTTCCTAATTTCTTATTTTCGACTTGCATTTTGGCTTGTATACCGTCTTGTTGACTTTCGACTTAGTCATATTTTTGTATTTATTGATGTCAGTAAGATGTTACTATGGAGAACGTAAATTTCAGATTATACATTCCAGACTTCGTAATTGTAAAAGTGCTCTAAACTTCCATAGATTTTTAATGCATATTTCACATAACCCGACATGCAGTTGTGGTCATACTAAAGAAGACAGCGACCATTATTTTCGGCACTGCCCAAATTATTCGTCTCAGCGTATCTCAACATTAAATACCCTCCCATTTAAATCCATAAATACAAAAGCGTTCCTATATGGCGATACCAACGAAAGTAACCCGTTCAACAAAGTGAGTTTTAGTAAAGTTCACAAGTATTTAAAACTAAACAAGCGCTTTGAATAGATAAGGTAATTGTCAGGCGACGATGATTGGTGTTAAATAGTGATGATGACGATGATGATGACCATGAAGATGATTTATTTATATATTTATTTATATACTAGAAGAATGCCCGGCTTCGCTCGGGGGTCATAACTCCGAAACCGGAAGTAGTAGACTAACGCCACCTGGCCTATGTTACTCCCCGGTCCGAGCTACCCCTAAACCCCAAATTTCAGACTCGGAAATGACAACGTGAATGATGGATCAGTCGAACGACAGAGTGAATGACAGGAGTTTTCCAGTCGAATAATAAAGATAATGGCAACTCTGGTCATAGCATATCTGTTTATAATATATTTCATATAAATGTTTATTTAGGTCTACGTGTAATGTTGAATGTATAAATTCGGAAATGTTTTGATCTCTTGAACTGTATTATTTAAAATACACGATTAACGTATTAAATTGTAAATAATGAATCAAGCCAAGACATGTATTAAATGTTTTATTGAATTGGAATAGAAACTGAAAACAGATTAACACCCTGTGTGAGATATTTCATTCAAATATTGTGAAAGGGTTGGTAATAAAATTAAAATTGTCATTGTGTCATTTTAATAACATTGAATCGTCCTATTCTGTTACGTAGTCGTCTCAACATATTGTTGTCATGGGTTACTTCTGCTAAACAACTCAATAGAAACGAGTAAAGTATTATAAACGAAATTATGTCTAAAGAGTTCTTCATGACATGTATTGACTGTAAGACACAAAGCGTACAGGATCTAAGTGTGATGTTAAAGGTCAACACGCAAATATTGAAATTGGGTATGTTCGTGGATTGACTTATAGAATGTTGTTAATATTTCCATTTAAATAAATACAAAAAGCAATTCGAAAAATAAACTATAAGTAAAGGAACCATCTCAGTGAATAAAGCTATTAATATGCCGTTAACCCGTGAGGCAAACCGAATGATGTTTTATAGTAAATTAGACGAATAAAACATATAACGTTGCCATCTCGACCCTGATGCCCATGAACACAAATGACGAGTTTAAGACAAACCAATTGCGGAATGGAATTGATTAATGCAATATATATTTTATTATGTATTGACAATACTTTTCTGGTTAGATTTTAGCCTAAACACGACATGTGTGTTGGTGACAATTTTGGCAGTCATATCTGAATGACTCAAAAACTGTTTATATTTCTTTAACTTTTGGTATACCTAAATTCGGGCTATTATTTATGGTAGAAAGATATAATAAAATGACCTAAAGCTTTAAAACATATTTTTAAATATGTTGAGGCACTCTAAATTGAATTTGAAGCACCAGGGATAAATAAATAAAAATAGCTATAATGCATGATTTTATTGTAACTAGTGAACTGATAAATATTGTACAATTTATCTAAAGAGTACATTTATGAAAACGTGGTACTTTTCTGTTATCTAGTTAAATTAACACTTACCCAGATCTTGGCATAAGCATGACTTAAAATGATCACGGCTAAAACACTTCCGTGCAAATCAAGAATTCTTTATGTAAGAATAGAGCTTTATAAGACCGTAAATGCACCACACATTATGTCTCCATAAGATGGTAGCTATAATCTTTCAATCCAATCCCCTAATTAAGTATACCCCCACCCAATCATAAAAAAATAATAACATAGCAAAACGGTGTTTAATTCTGATCATCTAAATTATCAAATGATATTCGCCGAAGTAGTAACTGAGAAGGGGGTGTTTTAAGATATACATAATGTATCTTACTATTTTTCGCTTATATAATTTGATTTTCAAATACAAACCATTAATACTTATCTTAGCATTAAAACAATCAACCATTTGTGGTTATATTGAAATCTGTAAAAGACGCATTCTTTTTAATGGAAAAGAACATATTATTAACGCTTTTTCAACAAGCAATTGTTATACTCTTAGTGATTTGTAGAGCGTCAAATCACAATGTTATTGTACTGTTTTAAATTGTAGATTTTATTCATTCATGTAAAACATTTATTACAATTTTATAATAAAATGTATAAAACCCTGAGTTCGAGATTCAAATCACAAATCCATCCAAGCTAGGATACTGCAAATCCGAATATTTTTGTTTATAAAATATTTACTTTCCATTCAATAAATATTCCAGTCATCTAGTTTTGGATTTGGGGAAATTCATTCTCCTTTTCCCATATATACGGATTGCCGTATTATTTAATAATCAAACCAAACAGCATGTAATCAAAGAACGCTTGTATCCGCCATATGTAATATTGTCACGTGACATTGTTATGTTTTGTTTCGCTCGGGAAGCGTTTATTATACATAATAGAACTCCAGTGTAGTAAGCCATAACTATGAACAATATCATGTCCCAAATAAATAATCTAATTTTTAATATAAGAGAAAAACAAACAGTTATTACCTAAGTAAAATGGTTCTAGTAAAATGAATTAGAAATGAAATGGTCTAATGAAGATGGGCATATACGCCATACAGTGTGCTATAAAGCAAATTTTGCCTGGGCACAGCACTATGGCCTACGTTTATATCAAATTACAACTGCCAAGGGATCTTTTTACGTGCACACCAATGTATACACAGGACCTCGACTAGACTGCTGTCCTTGTGCCTTGTCAGCCCACCACTGACAAGGGGAAACCGTCGGAAATGAATTAGAATAAAAAAGTAAAATAAAAACATATAGTAAGCATAAAGTGACAAAATATAATATGAAAATTTATTGACATGTACAGTACATTCAAGTAAAACATATTTAAAATATGAAATATTAAAAAACCGCTTACAAAAATACATGTATACAGGTGTAGGCCTACTCACATAATTTCATCAATATCATCATCACTATTAAAATCAATGTCACTGTCAGCATATGTTTGGCTGTCACTTTTATATTCGAACAATATACACAAAACCATACAAGAAAGTTTTCACTTGTAACAATCGAACAATATACACAAAACCATACAAGAAAGTTTTCACTTGTAACAAGTACATCTATTACTGATCTATCTGTAAAAGTGTAATGCAGCTTGATTTACATTCACATTGAAAATTTTGTTTGGTGCTTGATCTCTAGTTACCCTAACCCTGTCATTTGTTCAATAGAGTTTAACAAGAGGGGTTTAAATTTCCACAGCTACAGTCAGGCAACCTGGGAGGAATGCGCCAGAATATGCCCCCTTTTTGACTGGTGATGCAAAGGCAGAAATAATTCTTCATACATATTTTTTTCAAAAAAAGTAAGTGCACTTGTACCAATTCATCTATTTCGGTTCTAATTTTCTCCATAACATTGGGGTTGGATGGCCGAATTGTTAACATGTGCGCACTGTATCATAAAGTCTGTCATTGAGTCAACAGGCTTGGTTTCGAATCCCAGGTTGTACGTGACAAGGAGTAGGGTCGCCTGTCCAACCTCGTGGGTTTTCTCTGGGTCCTCCCCTTTCCTCCCACTGTTAAAGGCCCCTACGCGCAAGCGAATTATTGAAATAAAAAAATTAAACCATATGTTAGTCCCAAAATGACCTAGTTTGTGTCGAGTGGACGTTAAACCCCATTTCTCTCTCTCCATAACAACTTGTTGGGTATGAGTACTGCACATTGTATTTCACCTCAATAATGATGACACAGTCTTAACCATAGTGGTCTTCTGTCTTTGACTGGGTGGACTTCTCTATTGGTCTGAGTGGTCTTGTGCGGAGTAGTCCTTGGTCTGGGTTGTCATGCATTTGGGAGAATATCTTCATCAGCTTGCATTTGCAAGAAAATGGGGAAAATGTTAAGATATGATCCGATCCCCTTAAACAAATTAACCAGACCTATTATTTTATTCTTTCTCTTTTTTTTTTTTTTTTTTTTTTTTTGCTGCTTGTTTCTAAACATCACTTTCTTCAACAATTTAGGAATCGTGATAATGTTTCATACACAGTTTGGTAACGTGGAATGTGATAAGTAGGCCTAGTAGCCTCTACCATACCCAAGTCCAGTGAGAGTTTTGTCTGCACATTCCTGACTGGAGTTCTGATTCAGCTTTGTCCAGCAAATCGGCATTTGTCTCCGGCACATTTCCATCTAATTTGATCCACTGGTTAGCACATACCTTAAATTTTTCCCAGCTTGTCGCAGTGAACGGTTTTAGCTCAGTGTTTTAACAAAATGTACTCGAACTATGCAGTTTTACTTTAGCTATCCTTCCGCCATGTACCGTTAATATCAAAACGTAAACAAAGAGCAGGTGACGATACGCCTGGATTCTATGGAGATCGTACGTGTTTATGTAAATATGACTATATATTAAAGTTAAAAATGTAAACGTCACGCTATACAATTAAGAAACTCTAGTATTACAATGCTTGCCTTTTGTCCACATGCCATAACCTTCACATTTTCTGGGAAAGCCCGATTCTTAATTGTAACACGTGACATATTAATATATAACTTTAATATATAGTCATATTTACATAAACACGCAAGACCTCCATAGAAGCCAGGCGTATCGTCTAACTGTTTCCATACCGCCAGGTGTGTGGTAATCAAGTGATCTGGTAAATAGTATTATATTTTGTATTATTTGATCATTTCTGGTCCGTGGTCCTACTTCGAATACAGTCGTCATTTTTAATTTTAAGAAATTGAATTCTGGGCTCTATTTCACAAAAACTTAAATCTCCTTAAAATCGCCTTAAACTAAAATTTCTTCCTAACTTAAGATAGATGCGTTTCACAAAACGATTTTAAGCATTTTAGATAAAATCCACTAAAATGATATTGTAAGTTAAAATTGTATCTTAACAAAACTATTTTAAGGACAATTTAAACTAAAATCAATTTTAACTTAGGATAGCCGTCATCCTCTCCTAACTTAAAATCACGACATGAATAAACATTGATTAGAGCTATGTTGTTAGATCTATAGATTATTCCCAATGGCCCGGGTTATATAATTTAAACATACTATCATTCACAAAAATAATTTTCAGTCAATTTCTTTTCATTGCATAGAAAATATAGCTCCGGCCCACCCGTTTATTTTATTGTAAGGTAAAAAATATAAGCAATTAGATGACGCCCCAAATTTAAACCCCAGACTCAAAAAAAACCCTAAAAAACCCAGTAAACAAAACTCTTTGTTATATATTATCATATGATTCAAGTACAAATTATACTATTTTCAAATAATTAATAGACAAAAAAAAAACAACGAAAAATAAGTAAAAAAAAGAAAACTCTGAACTCACTTCATTTCTAATGTCTATAAAAAATATTTTTGTAGGCCAACAATTGTTTAAAATGAGAGAGAGAGAGAGAGAGAGGGAGGGGGGTAACGTCCACTTGACACAAACTAGGTAATTCCGGGATTAACATATGGTTCAAATATATTTCAATAATTCGATGCGCGTAGGGGTCTATAGTAGTGGAAGGAAACCGGAGGACCCGGAGAAAACCCACGAGGATGGACGGGCGACCCTACTCCCTGTCACGTACACCGGGAAATCGAAACCCCGCCAGTCCTATAATACCAGATACGCCATATGCAAAGTATTTAAGGTTTTGTGGTTATAATGATTTATATAGGAGCCGAGGGTATTTTATATTGGGAAAAAATCATTTTAATTTAGTAAGATAGATAGGCATTATCCGATAAAGTGTGTGGCAATTTGGAATTTTCAAAGTATTATTAAAAGGGTCCATGGGACTGTAATTTCCAATCTAGGCATCGGAACATTAGCTTTTTTGTGTATTAGTTTAAAAGTTGTTAAATAGTTTTAAAATTCGACAATACTTTAGTCTAGATTAAAGATACATTATGGGAGATTCGATAAGGAGTTGGAAGTTCTCACCTGTTGAAAATTCCATTCAAATTGATCCACTATGAACCGAGAACTAAGCGTTTAAAATTTCCGCCTAGCCTCGATCATCATTACTAAAGTCAGTACGATAAACAGCATAGTCTCGATTATCCATTTAATCGTTAAATCGTGAAGGAAAGTTATGCAGTAAATCGGCTCATAATCCACTTAAGATCGCAGGCTAGCGATGCCACGATCTAGAGTTGATTATGGTCTGGATAGGTTAATTAATGTCTAACTAATAATTTAGATAACATTTTAGGCCTAAAGAAAGACCTGCAATAGACAGATTTAGCTCTTGCATAATGTATGTTTTATCGTTTGAGTCAGAAATATCACATGTTTGTGACAATTGTCAATAGTTTCTGTTATCCAAAATACCATAAAACTACGAAATTCAAGCGATTTAGTTTATCGATACGCATTATTTCCATTGGAGCCTGTTAGTAAATCAAATGCAAAGGTCACGAAAGCGACATGCAAGTTTAAGGCCAACCCACTGATACATTTCGAAACGAATAATACGAAATAAACTTATTCGTCTCATCTTTCTACAACTGTCTGACCATGTGCAGCCATTGCTACAACGTATGAATCTCTCCTCATTGGTATTGTAACCGTTAGTTCAAAGGCAACGTGAAGTTGGCACGTGATTCGTGATTCGCGAATCCCGAATACCGTGCTGGCTCGTTATTCGGGAATCGCATATAACGAATAACGAGCCAGCACGTTATTCGGGATTCGCCACTAAAAGAGAACGATCTATCTTGCATCCGACTATTTCCTCGTTGGGTGACCGATTAGCACGGAGACGACCGGTTCTAAAGCGCGTAGGGTGCTGACTGGTTTGTTAGAGTGCACGGGGCAGTCACCTCCAGCAATCACCTGTTTTATTCGAATCCCGAATCGCGAATAACGTGCTGGCTCGTTATTCGTGATTCGCCGATAACGAATAACGAGCCAGCACGTTATTCGGGATTCAGAATTCGCTAATAAAACAGACCGACCTACGTTGCATCCGACCATTTCTTCGCTAACCCCGACCGTAGGGTTAAGTGAACGTTGGGTGACAGGCTAACAAGGAGACGACCGTTTGTTGAGCGAACAAGGTGTTGACTGGTTTATTGATGTGCACTGGGCAGTCATCTCCTGCGCTCACCTGTTTTATTGTCGAATCCCGAATAACGAGCCAGCACGTTATTCGGGATTCCATAGTAAAACACATTGGCCTACCTACCACCTGACCATTTCCTCGCTACCTCCGACCGTAGGGATAAGTGAACGTTGCGCAGCCAACTAGCACGGAGACGACCGTTTCTTATGCGAGTAGGCTGCTGACTGGTTTGTTAGAGTGCACGGGGCAGTCATCTCCAGCAATCACCTGTTTTATTGGCGAATCCCGAATAACATGCTAGCTCGATATTCGTGATTCGCCAATAACGAATAACGAGCCAGCACGTTATTCGGGATTCGCCACTAAAACAGACCAACCTACATTGCATCGGACCATTTGCTCCCTACCCCCGACCGTAGGGGTAAGTGAACGTTGGGTGACCGACTAACAAGGAGACGACTGTTTGTTGAGCGAACAAGGTGTTGACTGGTTTGTTGATGTGCACTGGGCAGTCCTCTCCTGTGGTTTATTGTCGAATCCCGAATAACGAGCCAACACGTTATTCGGGATTCGATAGTAACACAGACTGGTCTACCTACCACCCGACCATTTCCTCGCTACCTCCGACCGTAGGGACAAGTGAACGTTGCGCGGCCAACTAGCACGGAGACAACCGTTTGTTATGCGAGTAGGGTGCTAACTGGTTTGTTAGAGTGTACAAAGCAGTCCTCTGCAGCACGTTATTCGGGATTCGCCACTAAAACATAACGATCTGTCTTGTATCCGACCATTTCCACGTTGGGTGGCCGATTAGCACGGAGACGACCGTTTCTCAAGCGAGTAGGGTGCTGACTGGATTGTTAGAGTGCACGGGGCAGTCACCGCCAGCAATCACCTGTTTTATTCGAATCCCGAATCCTAATTATCGTGCTGGCTCGTTGTTCGTGATTCGCCAATAAAACAGAACGACCTACGTTGCATCCAACCATTTCCTCGCCACCCCCGACAGTAGGGGTAAGTGAACGTTTGGGTGACCGACTAACAAGGAGACGACCGTTTGTTGAGCGAATAAGGTGTTGACTGGTTTGTTGATGTGCACTGGGCAGTCCTCCCCTGCACTCGACTGTTTTATTGTCGAATCGGCAATAAAACAGGTGATTGCTGAAGATGACTGTCCCGTGCACTCTAACAAGCCAGTCAGCATCCTACGCGCTTTAGAAACGGTCATCTCCGTGCTAATCGGTCACCCAACGAGGAAATGGTCGGATGCAAGATAGATCGTTCTCTTTTAGTGGCGAATCCCGAATAACGTGCTGGCTCGTTATTCGTTATTGGCGAATAACGAGCCAGCACTGTATTCGGGATTCTGAAGCGTATTTGCTTACACCCTAAGTGCCCTCGTCGGAATTGTGCACTGCGCGGGCTCAAGCAATTTTAACTAAAATCTATTAAAATTGCATTTTAAGTTACAATCGAACTTCGTGAAACGCATAAAATTTAAAATTTCATTTTGATTTTAGTTAAAATTTATTTTAGTGGTTTAAGTTTTTGTGAAACGGGGCTCTGACCTTTCATAGATTTTAACCATTTCTTGACTAGATTGATCGAATTCGTTGTTGCGTGTGCTATAGTGGGTTCCCCCATATATTCAATGTACGAATGTTCAAATACTCTCATATCATGCGAGGAATCATGCATAAAATCTTGCGTTTCCTTAATAAACAGTGTACGAATGTTCAACCTCTCTCATAACGAGTGAACACACGTGTGTTGGTTATCCTTAAAATCTTGCTTTTACTTAGTTTCATTTGGGTTTACCCGGTAACGGTTTACTCTTTGTGTTGTGTTGAGGAAATCCATGAACTGAGCATACGTGGGTACCGGGTAATAGACGCCTATAATTCTGAGGGTAGTAAATGCAGGAATCTCGTCCAGAAAATCTCGTGATTAAAAAATAGGTCTGTTCCGGTTAGGCCGTATGTGTGTTCTGTGACTTTTCCATGCAACGAAGGAACTGGTCCAAATTACAATCCCCATTGTAATACCAACATCTGTATTAAATGTAATAAAATGTATCATTATCCATATACAAACCAATATTCGATTGTGAACAAACTACTGAATAATGGTTATTAGTAACTTATTACTATGTGTTTAAAATCACCTCCGGTTAAAAAAATTCCATTGGAAATTAAATACCTCAACGCATAAAATTCAAGGTTTTTGCTTGTACTTTCGGCAGAGCTCATCAACTATGGCAACCAACGTAAAACAAAGCGCGATTATTGCAATCGCTAAAAGAGACAATAACACTCTTGCTGGCTTGACAGCTCCAGAAAATAAATAATAGCCTTATTCTAAGTACTAGATGTTTAAGTGTCCTACCTGTTGTGTAAATTATCTATTAAATCCTATTTTACTTGTCCAGAGGGTTCGAAAATATTTTTAAATCCAAGTCACATTTGAAAAGGTTTACGTTAGGCTTTTCAAGTCATTTAGTTGAATTTTTCCAATTTTTTAAATTAGGTGTGTTAAAATGAAATTTGTATCACCAATTAATTGGAATATTGTAAAATAGTAC